TGAAATGCAAGAATCTACACTTTCAAAAAATGAACAATAGCTTTTTAAATAAATGGAAACAAGTTTACAATGTGTCTCAATGATTGGGTTACGATTTTCCTATTTAATTCACTGAAAAATATTATTTGGGTGTGAGAAATATAAACAGCTATCAATCATCAGGTCAAGCTTTTCCAAAACATTATAGATTAAAATTCTGCTTTTGTGGAAATACATTAAAGAATAAATTACTAGGAACAAAATCTCCCTAGCACACTAATATAATCAAACTTGAGTATTATTATCATGTTGGCTTTAGCCAAATCCTAGCAGGCAGCTAGTTTATTCAAGCTACTCTAAAAATGAAAAAGAAATATGCATATCCTGACTTTGTAAGAAGGTGCCTGTTAGCATCTTACTAGCCATTTTTCCTCTTTTAAGACATTTTGGACCCAAGGACCAATAGGTTGACTCATTCACCAGTGGAGAATACCAAAGAAAGAAAAAAATTAAAACTAAACAACAGATTTGACAAGATGCCTGTCATCTGAAAGTGAGAAAGAATCTGATATTAAATGAGCATCTTTTGTGCAAGATACAGGCTGTACATATGCTTTTCTTCAAAACAGCCCTTCAAGAAAAGGGTAATTATCTCCATTTTATAGATATGAACATTGAGACTCAGAGAGATTAAGTAACTTACTTAAATAACACAGTTAGAAAACAGCACAGGGAGAGCTGAGACCTAGCATTAATCAACTCTAAAATCCAAGGTCTTTGTAACCTACATGTCGTCTGCCTTTCTATGACTGCTCCTGGCCTGGCCACCTCCTTTGTTTCTTTGTCTATACCAGTATCATTCAATCTTCTGTTTCCTGACTGGTAGCTTTCCAGCACCAGAAGCAACAGACACCATGGCAGGGAAGAATGTCCTACCCAGATAGAAGGTGGCAAGTATAGAGAAAGCAGGGAGATAAATGCCTTTCTGCTTCACTGTTTTTGTTTATTTATTCCCTGCTATATTTCACCAAAGCTTGGAGATTGTCAATGTAAAATGTAAGATATCACAGGAAACTAATAAATGAATCTGGTACTGTTCTATAAGTGGAAATACAATTAACTAGGAATTAGGAAAGCTGAGATTTAATTTCTGCTCTGCCACAAATACACTATGACTGTGGGCAAGTGCTTTTCTTTCTCTAGGTTTCAGTTTTCTCATCTGCAAATTGAAGTGACTGCATTTGATCAAGTGTAATGCTCCCTCTGGTTCTCTTACTCTACAGTTTTAATTCTACCAATATACTTCAGAGGCAAGTAAGTGTGATAATAGTGTCCATTGTAGCTCATTTTTTTTGACACCTGATGAGGTCAAGCACTTTTCTCAAGTGATTCCCAGATGAGGAAGTGAATAGCAGCTCAGGACACATGTGTACAGATGTGTAATCTGCCTTTTTGTGAGCAGTTGTGATCAGTAGGTAATCAGTCTACTGGCTTACATAATACCTATGCAGGAAAGCATTCCAACCAATGCTTTCGCTGAGTCAGCATTCAAAAATCAAGAAGATCAGAGAGTTACAGAACATACTTTACATATATCCCTTCATTAAGAAGGCCCACCCTGCCTTGGCTGTCTTCTTGCCAGATGCCCTTAGCTTAGCTCTGAGGAGACTTAGAAGCAGCCTAATTAAAATTCTGCCATGTATTGTCATGACTACAATACTCTCTATCTTAGAGATGTCAAAGCAACAAAATTTGGCAAGCAATTGGTCTATAGTTTGATCGAATTGCACTGGTATTTAGACAGGAGTGAAGATGGCTGGTGTTCTTTTTGTGGAAAGCTACAACCCAGGGCGGTAACTTAGATTTCTGCTGGCAGGACACTGACAATTCACGCACAGAAGTTATGTCGAAATGATGGAGCAGAACAGCTCCTAAGGTGCCGTTACAGTCTATTGTACCTACAACGCATATATTTAACAGATCCTAAATACTCCATGACACAGCCAACCAGAACAACTCCATTGGTGCCGTTCTGGCCGATCAAGTCAACAATGTTTCATTTTAAAGTGCCAAAATAGGGATTTACCCAATACAGTGAGACACATCATGAGTAAACATGTAGTCATATGGGCATAATCTATGATTCTATATGTACTATAAAGACATAAGCATCCCTATGCCTGTTAGTAAATGTTGGCACACATTTATGATATATACAAAGCCTGTCTTGTGTACATCTTATATTACTAAATGTAACAAGCTACAGTGGACACTGATGTGTGACCCAGATCCCCCTTCAGGACTGAAGATTTATTCCCTCCGCTGCTGGAATTGCTGTTGGTAGCTAGCTTTTAGCTGTTGGTCCTCTTCAGCACTGCCTTAGCTGAAGAGAGTCACCTCACTCAAAGTCATTTCCTCTTCCCACTCAAAGTCATGTCCTTATCCAATGACTCATTGATGATACAAGTGTATAAAAGCTCACACTCTCACCCCACCTTAGGGCAATTCAGAGTGGCCATGGGAACCTGGAAGCTTCCAATGAGGTTGCTAGAGGCCCTAGTTGAGACTGTACCAGAGCACAATTTCTTCTTCTGACCAGTCCTGGGTTTTAAAAAAAATTAATTAACTTGTTTATTTTTTAGAGATGGGGTTTCACTATGCTGTCCAGGCTTTTGTCTTCTCCCTTCCCTTAGCAATCCTAAGAGTGCTCCCTAATAAACCTGCATGCTGATCTCCATCTCATGAGCTATTTCCCAGGACACCCAAATCTATGCCACATTCCTCTGTAAAGAGTGTCCAAATAAGAGAGAGAAGAAGAATGCTTAATAAATTATAATGCTTTATGACAACAACATCACAAAAAATTATCTATAACTGTATTAGGGGCTACAAAGAACAAATCCATAAATCAAATGAATGTTTCTTATATTTAAGGAAACAGATAATTTCAACATGAATAATTCTGAAGAGAGTTAAACTGAATTTGTCACAATTCATTTTCCAGTTTAATTGCACATTATATATTAATATTAAGCCTCTTTGGCCCAGAAGAAAATATGATGCTCAGAAGAAAATGTAGTGCCCTATGTAATCCCATAAAATTAAGACAGATGTTTTGATTATAAGAAAGCCAAAGATACCATCACAAGAAACTGTTAGTGCTGTCCTTCATTTATTCTTCTGACTTCAACTAATCTATCAGCAATCACAGAAACTGATTCTAGATGCTAAACAAAGCCTGCAAGAATCACAAAATATATCTGCAAAACAGTGACATTATGCAAGAGGGAAATCATGTTAAGGAGAGCTCATGAATACAACATCCCTATTAATGAACTTTTCCAGTGTCCGAAATTCAACCTCAGGAAGGTTTCTACTGGGAAAACTACTCCCTTCAACTTGGAAACCAGGGTTTCCTGGTTCTGTAGAAACAACTTTGCAGTTTATCTTCTGGGACTCAGTTATATTCAGTGTGATATGTTTTAGGTCAAGTATAAATTTATCTCTCTCTCTCTCTCATCTATCTATCTTAACCTCATCTCTCATCCCTCTCCCATGTGTTCCAAAGCAAAAGTAAGTTTTATCCTTTTACACTTCAGACTTTTTCCTTCCAAATGAATTTAAAAAGTCAATGAGAAATACTTAAAATTAATCTGTAGAATTTGAATAGTATCTAAGTTTGAACTTCAACAGGTAATACAAATTCAACAATATAGGGTACTATGGAGATAATTTTTGTGTCCCCTCAAAATCCATATCTTGAATCCCCAATCTCCAATGTGATGATAGCCGGAGGTGGCTCTTTGGGAAGTAATTAGGTTTAGATGAGGTTATGAGGGTAGAGCCCCATAATCAGACTAGTGCCCTTCTATCAGATAATCAGAATTTTTTACCCAGTCTACTACTAATAGCCTCTCAACCAGTCTCCCTGTTTCCATTCTTAACCTCCTATAATCCAATCTTACACAGTAGGCAGAATGATCCTTTTATATGTAAATCAGATCATGTCAATGTCCTGGACAAAATCAGTCTAGGGGTTCCCATTGCACTCAGAATAAAATGAAAAGCCTTTCCGGGGTCTACCAGGTCTAATAAGCTCGGCCCAGTCTATCATTTTTACTTTATGTTCCCCTGCTGTCCTGTCTCTTACCATTCTTGTCACAGTGGCCTCCTTGGTGCAGGTCTGATCTTCTAAGGGCCTCCATATTCATCATTCCCAGTGCCTGGAATGCACGTGCTCCTGCCTTTCACTATGGCCTGGACTGTTGCTTAATTCAGATGTCAATGTCGCTTTCCCAGACAAGCCTTACCGCCCCATCTAACATACCAACCCTATAACACCCTATTGTTTTAACTTGCTTCTATTTTTTCTCATGGCATTTATTGACTTCCTGCAGCTACATTTTCTACTTAATTGTTTATTTCTTCATTGTCTGTGTTCTCCTATCAGAATGTGAGCTCTAGGAGAACAGGTACTTTTGTCGTATTTTCTCACTGCTCTATCTTCACTCCAATAAGCAGAATAAGCAATAAATAATTTACTGGATCAAAAACCAAATGAATGCATTTTGCAAACTGCATTTTTATTTTTTGCCCTGGTTGACAGGGAGCTTAGTATTACATTTAATGATGAGTCATGGTAACATATTAGTCTTCATTGTAAGCACGTATGTGTCTTCCATTTTTAATATTCTGGTACTCTATTCTTATTCTAGTAACATCATATATCTCCTTTATTTTATGATACATCTATTTCAGAACGTGACAGAAAAACACACCAATAGGCAGGTAGGTTGGGTCCCTGGGAGGCAAATTACACTGGGTGAGAAAGGGCATATTTGTTAATCAGCAATAATGCTTACAGGTGCCACAATGATAGATTTTAGTAAAGTTCAAGACAGCTCTCAAGCTGGAAACCCAAATCTATGGCTGGAGAACCCATACTTGGGAGCCTGGAAAAAACCAGGTGAGAGTGAGCCAATGAGTCTAGCAGATCCAGTGACACAGGGAAGCAGTTTTACCTTTTCATTCCTGCAGTTGTTCAACCCCATATTATTTATGGAGGACAGTTTCCCATCAACACCATGTGGCTGTTGCTGCTGTTGCTCCCGCTGGATCTGCTCTCGCATTTTCCGTGCCTCCTGGATGGCTTTCATCACTGTATCCTGATCCCCAAACAGGGCAGGGGAGTTGAGACTAGACAGGATATCTGCATATACAGGATGCATTATTAGAGGCTTGTGAGATCAGACTCCTAAAAAACACTACTACTATCCCCTCCCCTGTAGAAAACTGCATTCTCTGAACAAGAAAGGGGCACACATTTGCCATTTTTTAAAGTATACAGTAATATCCATAGAGCACAGAGCCAGGGCAACCAAGATGTGCTGGGTTCTTTTAGCCCTTGGAGAAAACACCAGCACTCCAGTCTACCTGGATTCTGTCTACCCACCTCCTTGCAGACTAAGGTTCCTAGACTCCAATCATATATATATTGGAAGAAGAGATTTGCTCTGCCTGTATGTACAATTGGTGCCCAATGTTGTCTCTTCTGTGGAGGAATTATGGGGAAGAAGGGGGTGAGGAGTGACAAGGAGGCAGAGATGTTTGTCCAGGCTACCCATTATAGTTGCTGTGCTACTACAAGAAAGTTGTTTCTGGCCTGTAGAAAAAAAATCTGTGAGGCCACATGTGTATTTTAGTGATATCTGTATCTGTGTGTTCACATGTCCACTGCAGGAGAGAGGGGGCGGAAGGAATACACCATACTCTCCATTCCTCTAATTGCTGGCTGGTTAATGAAGCATTCTTCTCATCATGCTGCCTCAGTTATTTACCAAGGGAATGACAACTCATTCCCCATCCCCAGCTCAAACACCCACTACGATCAGCTCTCTATCTTCCTGACATTGAGGGGATATGTGTGGGACTGGTTTTCATGTAACTAAAAAGCTTCAGTAAAAGTGAGAATAAATATTTACTTCTAGTATATTCCATGCAATACAGGGAAAAATTTCAAAATTAAACTGACTTTTTTTCCCACTATATCTTGCATTTTACTGTAGGTAAAATGAATACTTTGAATAAGTTTTTCCAGTTTTAGACAAAAAGAGGGCAATTGTTTGATGATAGATAGGCTTCATCTGCTGTGGTAAATGTTAGTGTGATGCACTTGCTTAAGGCCTCGTATAAGCATTTCATAGCAGGGGTGTGTGCGTGTGTGTGTGTGTGTGTGTGTGTACACCTCACATAGGCAGTACAGAAGGAATGAGAATAGAATCAAGTTCACACTGTATGTCTGGCATGTACAATGCATGTGCATATGCATTTGTCTTTGGAAAAAATTCCGAAGCTATCTATGAAATTTTTTTGAAGTCAGTCACTTTTTAGTCCCACAGCTTTTGCTCTGGAGTTTTCTGGCAAAAAGACCATTTTAATCCAATATTTTCTGGACAAAAATGCTGTTCAAACACAGGTGCTAGTACTTCAGACTATTTCTAAGAAATATGCTCTGCTGAGTAGAGTTCCATAAAAGCAGGGCTTGTGACTTAGTCATCTCTGTCTCTCATGATACTCAGGACAGCAAACAAATGAATACAGAGTGAATTCTAGGAGGGCCATTTCAAGCTCAAATCTATAATTTACCTTCTTTTTGGCTTTTTTCCCTCATCTCACAACTTCCAAAAATCCAGCCAAGGGACATTCATATTCACATGCTGGAAATGGTGTAATTCTGTCTCTTATGTGGAGACCACTAACTTTGCATGAAAATTTTCAGGTCCCAAAAAAGGCATCCTTACTCAAAATGAGAATATGCTGTTGTAGAGATCCTATAACCCAAATTTCAGTGAGAAGATTTACATCTCACTATCAGAAGATTCACTTAGACTCAGCACAATTCAGCAAATATTTTAACTGTGAGTTTACTAAAAGAACAATGAGTAACATGTGAGAGGACCTGGGTTCTAATCCTGTTTCTGCTAAGTAATAGCTACAGGAGTATGGGCAAGTCGTTCTACCCCTAAGAACCACAATGTATGTATTTGTACAATGAGGGTAATAATAATATCCTACCTAATTCATATGATTGTGAAGCATCAAATGAGATAAAATAGGCAATAATGTTTTTTAAGCTGTTAATGGCTATTCTTATACATTATTTTATCTATTGTAATAAGCATTTTAGACTTCAGGACTTGGTAATGTAAGAAAGGTAATCTAATGAAGAAATGCTTGGTCTTTAGGCTAACCCTTTAAAATCTGTGTCTGCTTGGAAATTAAGAGATTTAGTTTCCTAAGAGCATAAGTATAACAAATTAAGAGACTTAATTTGACTTAAAGAGTACAGTAACAATAATGTTAATGCTTATTTGGCACTCTTACTGACAACCGCTTTCACACTTATTGTTTCATTTCACTTTATGTATGTACATGTATTGATAATCATGCATTCAAATTCTTTAAAATTGAATGCCTCTAGATTCTAAACTGTACTAGACACTTCATATGCATTTTTCTCTTTTAATTCTCACAATAACCTATGAGCTATAGTAACCTATAGTAATACTATCACCCTTTCAGAGATTAGGCAATTGAACTTGAAATAACTTTCTTGGGGTCACATAGCTAGTAAATGAAGGCTGTCTGTCTAAGCCCACCTCATTCCAAAACCCATGTGTTTCCCTACATAATTTTCACATAGGGATACAAATATTCCTAGAGATACTTGGCAATATATGGGGGAGTATAAGAAGCCAGACATTATGACATATGTTCCTGCATATCAATAGTATTTCATATATGTTCTGGAATTGTGTCACTCATATTTGTTTTAATGCAAAAGTAATATGGGATAAGATGTAAAATTCATGTACACTTTGATAGAAAATAAAAATGTCAAATAAATTTTGGCCTTTTAAAAGGCTGCTTTGAAGCCAGGTCCTATGTCCCTGAAAAATTATTTCAGTGGCAAAGCGCTGACCAAATATAGAAATTCCTAAGTCTATGATTTACTGGATCTAACTCATTATCATCTAAAGAATCCATCCCAGCAGGATTTATATTATGATCTTTTCCAAAAGTTCTAATATAACAAGATACTAAATTGGGTTATATTTCAGTAGAGAAGATAAGAGCATTATCTTTTACTAAGGAACACTTTGGAAACAAGTATCAGTAGTAACTAAACAGGTTTGCTTTCTTTTACCTAATTCATAAGTCTCTTCCTGGTGTTGACTTTTCCATTTACCTAAAGAGGATCCTCTTCCCAGGCTTCCTCCAATGGGGCTAGGGATGCTGCTTTTGTTTGGCAGGTTGACAGGGCTGGTTTTGCTGGCTGGGAACAGGTTCTGGGTGGGAGACGTTGGGGACTTTACAGGCTCTGCTGTCTTGGGTCGGGATGAGAGATTCAGAGGCTGTGCCGCTGCTTCATCCTGCAAGAGTTTAACATAAATAATTATTTTTAAAAAAGACAAATGAAGCACATTATCACTTAGTAAGCCACAGTTATTTTACACCTCAGAGACAATGCCACATTCTCCTACAATAATAACAAAAGAAGCTAATTATCTACCTCCTTGAAGATTCATCGGAAGGAAACCTCATTAATTTCCCTGTGTTATGCTTCTATTTACATTAACTGTGTAGTTGGATCATTCTTTTTGCCAAATTAAAATCTGAATTAGCTCACATTACAGCTTAATTTCCTAATGTGTTTTCAGGGATCTAAATTAACCTAGGGCATTTACAAAGAATTATTTAAAATTTCAGCAGCTCTGTAGTGCTTTTGTGTTATTTTCTCTGAAAAGTTCTTATAGCTATAAATAGTCTCTGTAGCTAATTTTTTAATACATATTTTAAATCAAACAATTGCAAGCACTTTAAAAATGGAAACATAGAAAGCCTTTTTCTGATCTACTAGGCTCCTGCCCAGAGAGCCACATGCCACAACACAGCTTCTATGTGGCTTTCTGGGTGTGGGCACTCTTCATGGTCTATATTCTGGTCTCTATTCATGTTTAAAATTAATTTTTGCAAAGACCAAGGATAGATTATAATTATGTTTTATATACTATGCTATATGCAATTTATTTTTCATGTTTAAAGTGATGTTTCTTTATAGGCTTTTTTACATATATTTACAGAATGTCTATTTTAAGACATGTCCTTTTACACTGAGACGGTATTCAAATATCTGGCTTGTAACTGTAGTTCATCCAGGAGCTTGAAAGCTAAGCTCCTTCCTTTGTTTTGTCTCATTTGTCCTGCCATAAAATACTTGAAACAACACTTTCATCATCCTAGAAATTTTGTTGTAATATGAGCATATTCATTTAAATGTTCAGTGTTAAGATCTGTATTATTGTATTCTAAGATAAAATGGTCAGCAAATGTTAACTCCCATTTTGCTTCTGCGAAGGCAAAGAGAACTAGATTTTAATACCATTGTTTAAAAGACCCAATAGAGTTTAGGTACAGACATTTTTCCCCTTAGTAACCAAGTGACCTTGCTGGGGCTCAATTTCTTCACCTGAGAAAAGAGAGTCTGATGCTAGGTGATCTCTCAGGTCTCTTCTAGTACTAATATCGTTGATTAAGGGGGAACAAAAAGAGAGGCCAGAAAATAGTACTTGAGAAGGAGGATTAGAAAGAGAAAATAAAATTAGCATGCACAAAGAAGCAATTATATACCAAGCACTGTACTAAGCATTTTCACATACTAGCTCATTTAACTATCAATAACTGTATGAGGCTGGCCAGGATTATTCTAAATTTACAAATGAGAAAATGGAGGTCAGAATGAAAATGTAAATTCTTTATTGGACTCCACATTTCAGGCCCCTTTTCTACTGAACTACCATAGAAAATAAGTCAGTTGTTTGATAATATAGTGATGCCCCACATTTGTGTGTGTGTGTGTGTTCATAAGGAAAAGGCAATCTGTCACATATGTTGCAATATACCTTTATGTATATTTATATATAGGACAGGTTTTCAAGCAACATGGGTATACCCATTATGAATGTCAAAACTATCTTATGTACTTAATTGTATTTTACTTCCCTTTGCTCTTAATTCAAAGGATGTTTGAACTAGTTTGTTCCTTTACTCACATCTAAATAATAGGGATTTATATGCTAGTGTTTCGTTTTCTCCATGTTTCTTTTATTTGGGGCTCACTGAGCTTCTAAAAAATCTAAATTTAAAGTTTTGGTCACATTTGTAACATGTTCAGTCATTATTTCTTCAAATACAATTTTCTGTTTCTCTCTCTTCTTTCTGGGCCTCCAATTGCATACATTAGTCTATTTGATTTTGTACCACAGTACTGACCTGTCTTTTTTCTATGCCTTTTATTTTGGATAGTTTTATTGTTATGTCTTTAAGTTCACTATCTTTTCTCCTGCAATGTCTAAGCTGTTGCTAAACCCACCTAGTATATATTTTTTAATCTCAAACACTGTATTTTTCATCTCTAGACATTTGATTTAGGTTTTTCCATGTCTTGCTTTATCATGCTCATGTTTTCCTCTATCTTCTTGAACATATGGAGTTTATTACAGCTTTTTCAACTTAGAAATACTCTAATTTTTTACTTAGTTTTATAATTCAATAATCGCCACTTTAACCAATAATACCACTGGGCATGGCTAGCACCTACCAATGCCCAATTAAGTGAATCCCTTTCTACCACAGTAGAACTGTTGGTCCTCACAGCCTGTCCTGGCCTGACAACTTTGTGCTAACCAAGCCTGGGAGTAGGGGAAATAACAATAGCTCTAGACAGACTCCCACTATTCCTACATATAAGAGGCATAAATGTTTTCTCAGATTGTGTATAACTTTGGTCAATTTTAAGAATGCCTAAATGACTGTTTTTGTCAGTGTTTTACAGCTTTATAGGTGCTTTTTTAGGAAAGCAGATTTGCTTATCTCATCTGGCTCTAGTTGGAAGTCTCTTATAATAGCTGTTTTTTCTGTCTTAGTGCCATTTTGGGCTCTGTTTCTTTTGATTAATTTTTCCCATTATTCATATTTTTTTCCTGCTTTGCAAGCCTGATAATTATTGGATGGATGCTATACATTGTGAATTTTACCTTCTGGGGTGATGAAGTTTCTGTATTTCTTTAAATATTTGAAAACTTTGTTCTGAGACACAGAACAATTTGATCCTTCCTAGGCTTACTTCTAGGTGTTGTTAAGCAAGGTCAGAACAGTCACTAAGTAGGGGTAATTTGTCCCCACTACTGAGGTAATACCCTTCTGGGTACTCTACTTGATGCTCCGTAGGTCAGGAGATCTTTCCACTCTAGCTAACTATTCCTGGCCCTTTATGAACCTTGCAATTGATTTGTTTGCTATATTCTGGTGTTGCCCCTTATCTTTGGTAGTTTCTCACATGCATGTGCTGATCAGTACTCAGCTAAATACTCAGGCGGAGCCTTTTGCAGATCTTCAGCACTCTTTCTCCATGCAGCTTGCTCCTTTCTGATACCCTGTCTCACAAATTTCATCTGCATTAGCATCCCTAAATTCTAAACTCTGTCTCTCTAATCAGGGAGCCTGTAAAACTTCCTTCATAGTTGCCTGGGAACTTCCTCCTGATAGTGAGCTGCAACAATTATAGTGCTTGCCTTACTTGTTTCTCTTCTCATAGGAAGCACTGTCCTGTACTCCTATTGTAAATGTCTGAAAACCATTGTTTTATGTAATTTTGTCCTGAGTTTTAGTTGTTTAAGCCGGAAAAGTAAATCTGATTTTGTTCCTTCATCATGGTTTACCATGGAATTCCTCTAGGTGTTTATTTAGGATCTCTCCCAGTCTACAACTAGAAATTTTAATCACAACCACTAAAATCACCACACTATCTTCTTTATTACTGTAATAAGCAGCAGCAGCATCACGACCACTAACATTGACAGAATACGCACTATAGACTAGAGGATATATTTAAGACCTATAATAATATTAACTCCCTTTTTTTTCAGAGGCAAAAACTAAAGTAGAAAGACATTAAGTATCTTGGGCAAGCTGATATAATGAGTAAAAGTGGTAGAACCAGTATCTTTAACAGAAACATTCTGACATCTGATGTTGACAGTTACAGTAGACAAATATTCTAGGGGAAAAAGGTACATCAGATCATCTATATTTATTTTTGTTACTTTCAGCAAATGTTGCCTATGTTCTGTCTGAATTTAAAATAAGTAGTCATGTTATATAAAGAAGTAAAGCAATGACTATAAAGAGAAACATGGGAGATTTTGGTAACCATAGTTCCTTCAATTAGCAAATGATAAGATTATTTTCAGAACATCTTCAGTAATAGGAATTATATTTTAAATTTAAAATACTTGATTTATGTTTTGTTCTATATATTTTTACCCATATATAAAGTAAAATACCTAGTAAGTAAAAAGAAATATTTCCTTTTTTATTAACATAGAATATGGTCAAGTCAAATTACCCAGAGAGCTCCCTAAGCATTTGCATGTGGTCAAATGAGTAATAAAATTCAGTAGGCCCACAAAGATGAAATGGTAAAAGCAGATATAAATTTGAATTTAACCAAGGAACATTTTACTCATCCAGTAAAGACTTGGTTTGGTGCAGTTCCAGTTGGTAAACTTACTTATAAAATGACTTCTTTATGTTAAAATATTTAATACTCAATAGCTCAAGTCACTGATGTTTGATGCTTCAACAATTACGAATAAGCAAAGTGCCTTGGTTTGAGTTGGAGTGTTCTAACTTATTCACAAACACAAACTCTGGGAACATCAAATACTCTGTTTCCATACATGATTCTGTCTTATTAAATGTAAACCTCCTATTGTCATATCTCAATATTTCAAACAACAGACCATAAATGTTCACATGTTTCTTTAAAGAATCTAAAGAATAGGTGGCATTAAATTAATTCCTTTGGATAGAATGCAGGCAGAACTCTCTCTCTTAATGATTTTCACTTTTCTTGATCTTTGGTATTTGGGATCCACTTTTTTTAAAAAGACTTTCTGGAGTCTCAATATTACTATATGCAAATTTTAGAAAACAAAACAATTTCAGTGACTGTATAGCATCTGATGCTTAGTTTTGATGGTCTCAGCCGCTTCCCTTGTGAAGATTTAATAATTGCAAAATTTCTTCAAATGCAGTGCTTTTATCACATTACAATAAAGCATTTGTAATTAGCATACTCCTCCAAGTAGATAAGTCAATTATACAAAACAATTGTCCCTTTGTTTGAATTTGATAATTCAATATAGAAAGTAACTGCAATCATAAAACCAACAAGCACCACCTATGGGTACCAGCTGCAGCACAAAATTGCAGCGGCTCATCAATTTCCCTCTGTCGCCAAGTACCTCCTGGCTGCACAGTTTCAAGACACTGAAAATTAGTGAGAAAAGACATTTATTAATGTCCCAGACATAATTTGTGAAAGTCTGTTTATCCTAACACAACTATATGGCATCAAAAGCATTATTAGGCAATGACAACTCATTCCTTAAAGGCCACTATAACTAGTTTTGAAGGAGAGATCTTCATCAACAAACCATACAGAGTCCAGCATCAACTTCCATTTTGTACTTCTTTTTAAACCTAAGGTTTCAAGATCCCAGTTGTCTGGTCCTATAAGTTAACTCCCTCCTTGTTTAAGAAACATGGAGAGAAGTGCCACAAGTACATGACAAAGAATGGCAGTAAAATCATGGCCATTCACGCCAATGAACATTAAAAAATAAAAGCCAGAATCCAAAAGGGGAAAACTCTTGAGAAGTGAGTTTGCAGATAGAGGTGAAGATCTCACAATATGGCACTATTGTTATCAAAAGGGAAACACCTGTTTCTCAATGCTCAATCATGAAATTTACCATAAAGAGGGACATTTTGGGGTTGCTTTATGTTGCTATGTTTCCTGCTGTTTATGCGCAACATAGCCTGCTTCGCTACCTTTCTTGTGAAACTATTTTTCTGAGCTGTTTCCACAATCCTGCAAGGCGAGTACCTTAACTTGAGTTACAGGGCTGGACCCTCTCTTTTCATTTTTTATCCCAGTAGGTGAGACCGTCCCTGCTGTGTTTGGTGGCTGTGGAGTTGATGGCATCTTTGCTCCAGGTGACACCTGCATGCTGGCCAGCTGAGCGGCATAGAGCTGCTGCAAAACAGGGAAGACAAACATTGATCTCTTTAAATGCAGCTGAAATTGAGTTTCAAAAAAAAGACTTACCATATTGTTAGATTTCTCATACAGTCTTGTAATTTCTTTCTCACTATTTTTAAAAAAGGAAACTAAGAGAAGGAAAATAATATAACAGAAAGAAAGAAAACTGGTAAGGGAGCCACAGTTCTATTCCTGGTCCTTCTAGCAACAACTTTATGACCCTGGACAAAGGATTTGATTTCTTTAGAATTCAGGGTCTGTTGTTTACTTTTTTTAATTGTACAAAAAGGAATTTGAGTAAGTAGTCTCTAAGATGCTTTTTAATGCTTAAAATCTTTAAAAAGTTATTTAAATGTCTGGGATGTCCACTCATGTAATATTAATATTCATGAATTACAAAACTAACCTGAACATTTTTAAGGATTCTTAGAAGAACTGCATCATTATTATTCGGCACTACTATGCCTCTCTGGGTATTCTGATCCTTCTGAATGATGAGTGCTGTCCCGAAAGCCACTAAGGTCCAATGGCAGTCATTGTTTATACGGGGTCTTACTACTAGGCAGCATATAACATAATCCTCAAGAGAATATGGCCAGATTGGTAGCAGTTTTTTTTTTGTTTGTTTGTTTGTTTTTTAAGTCAAGCTTCTCTGAACCCAAACCAGCTAACAAAGTACTTCCTTCATGCTTCTAAACAGATCACCACACTTCTCCTCTCAGGTTCTGCCTTTGCCTGGAACTCCGCATTTATCTTCATCATATTATCACTGCTGTTTCAAGGTCTTTTCTCAAGTATTTTCCATAGTTCTCTTTGGCAAACCAATGATCTTATCTATTCAGCTTAAAATGGTTCCTCTTCTCTGAGACATGATAAACAGACAACTTGATGTTATGAATCTTTAAATTATCAATCTGAAAATATGTTGATTTCACTAAATTAAGGCCAAAAATGGAAAGACAGGTGGGCTAACCTCTTTTCATATAATTTTCATTTTTATCAAAGTCATTCTTATATATAGCTTTACAAGTTAAATAGTACTTTAAGGTTTAAAAAAACAAAAACACCAAAACAATAACAACGAAAAGAGCCTGACCAAAATGTACAGTGCACAGCCTCCACAGGCAGGCACGATGACCTTCATTTCCTTACCCTGGTCCTCCTTATCTCACCTCCTGTTCTGTGGAGTCCATTCCCTTCAATTCATTTAATGGTTTAACTGGTATTTTTTGCCTTATTTGTAAGTGCTTATAAATGTTATATTCTTATCTACATATAAAGGAAAATGAAAGGTTCACTTTCCTACACTGAACCCCACATGTGCTCCAATGCTTCCCTCTCCAATCTCTTAATGTTAATATCACAAATTTTAAAATTAGCGTTTACTGTTTTATTTTATGAAGATACTAGCTCTGTAGTAAACTGTACTTAATTTTCTCTTTCTTAACTTTTTATTTTGTTAGGTTTAATATTTACCTCATATTTTGTTTTCAAAATTTTTGTGTAACTATCACTAATTCTCAAACTCACTGAAATCAGTAAACTCTACCCATTGTAATTGAATATATCAGGTAATCTGTGAATCCTGTTTTCCCTTGGAGACACCCTTCCTGGAATTCTCAATCTTCTTGCTCCAATCTGAACTAATTTATTCCTCAGGCCTACCTACTGCAGATCTATGGCACTTGGAATTCCTTTTGCCTCTCCTGTACTGATGTCCTTGTTTCCTGGGTATGAAGTTTTCTTCCCTTTTAGTTATATGTAGGTAAGAATATAACATTTAGAAGCACTTACAAATAAGGCAAAAAATACCAGTTAAACCATCAAATGAATTGAAGGGAATGGACTCCACAGAACAGGAGGTGAGATAAGGAGGACCAGGGTAAGGAAATGAAGGTCATCGTGCCTGCCTGTGGAGGCTGTGCACTGTACATTTTGGTCAGGCTCTCATTTTGGTAGAGCATATCCTCCAAGCACTTCCTGAGAAAGGTGAATGTGAGATTAATTATTTAGGAATTAACATTTCTGGAAAATGTTATTATATTCTTCTCACTTGACTGTAGATTGACTGTATAGAATTCTAAGTTGAAAATAATTCTGCCTCGGAATTCCAAAGATATTGATCTGCTGTATTCTTATTCTTCTTACTAAGGAAGCCTGACATTATTTTGATTCCTGATCCTTTATATGCAATCTATTTTCTCCTCTGAAAGCATCAGGTTCTTCACTTTCCACAGAATGTTTTGAAATTTCACTATTATATCCTTCTGTTGACTTTTATATTCATTGTTCTGAACACCCAGTCAGGCTTTTCAATCCGAACTTATGTCTTTCAATTCTAGGAAACTTTTTTTGATGTTTTTCATTGATAATTTTCTCCTCTCTGTATTCATATTTGATAAATGTTAGATTTCCTTATCAACTCTCTTTTTTTCTTATTTTTCCTTCTGTTTGTTACTCTGACCTTTTGTTACACTCTATGACAGATTTTTTTTTGCAACTTCATCTTCCAAAACTTCTCTAAATGTTTTAAAGCTTCTGCCATTATATTTTAAAGGTACTCTTATTCTCTGATTGCTTCTTTTTATAGCATCCTGTTCTCTATTCTGTTTGACAATATTAATGTTTTCTACATTGTTGCCACTCTTTTCTTCCAATGTCTTTGAATTTTTCTATTAGGGGTTTTTCTAAAGTGTCTGGTGTTCATTGACTGTTTATTCATATATAAGAGCAATGTACTCAAAAGCTGACTGGAAGGTCTAAGTATGGGGTAGACTTACTGATTGATGGGCTTCAGCATATGGTAATGACACAGAAAGTCTGCTTTTTTATTGGGGAATCCCAAATGTCAATATCTACAGGTCATTTATCTTAGACTAGACCATTTTTTAGAGCAGTGTCTTCAAATTCTTGCCTTGATTTGTGTATACACTTGTATGCCATCATTACATGAGCCAAGCAAGAGAAGGATCTCACAGTCTGGTCTATCCTGCAAACTCCCTGGTTTTCACCATGGCACCATCACTCATTATCAGCTATGCCTGATGTCCCAAGATATAAGTTCAAATTATCAAGAGAATAAATCTCTGGCTTCTTCTGCCAGGTTATGTGCTCATGGGGCTGGGAGGGAGAAGGCAGGGATGGTAGTTACCAGGTTGCATGAGGTTAGGGAGGGATCATCTTATATCTATTTTCAACCAGTCATCCTGTCGACAGTTCCACCTCTTACAGCTGTTCCTTTAATGATACATGATGCCTTCAATTCCTACGCATTTTAAAGGCTCAGCTCACAATTGGGCTTGATTCTTTTTGGCTTTACACTCCTAAAGCTTGGGTATCAGCTTTCTCTTTTCTGCTAAGACGGTTATAACTGATCTATCCATTTCTCATATTCCAAATTTTTTTGCCTTCTCTTTTCATTTCTACTTGAAGGTTTACACCCATAATTCTTAACCATCAGTTTATTAGGATTTGGGTGAAACTAACAATAAATGAATATGTTAATCTGCTGTGGTTAACCAGAAGTCAGACACTCCAGTCTTAACACTATCTAGTGCCTGAAAACTTTGTTCAAATATTTTCTTTTCTTCTTATAATCAAAATTAAGCCATTACCTTGATGGTCACATTTCTCTCATAATAAATAGAAAGCTTCCTAGACTATCAACAAGAGAGAAAATAGCTCAAACTTTGCCATATTAGTAGGGGAGAAAAAACAGGTGGTTTGTATGTAATTTCCAGCATTACTGTCATTCAGATGGACAAATAAAAAAAATTACAGTAATCAAAAACAGACCTTTCAGCACATGTAATTAAATGAAAGCTTAATAAAGAATAATTTGCAAGAGCCAGATGTGCTTATGTCATGATTGTTGCTTTCTTTGGAACAATTTTTCTAATATAACAAGCCTCTAAAGAAATTAAAGTTTTATAATTCTGTATGCAATGACTCAGTGGCAGGGAAAATTCACAAGCAGAGTCAGTCAAATTGCCAGCACTTAGGCAAAGTGATGGGGGCATCTTTTGGTTTCTGTTTTACTCTGCTGTATCATTTTCCTTTGAAATTCAGCCAGATGTCTTCAAAATGGAGATAGGTCAAGCTTCTGAAAATGTCTACTTGGATTAAGGCAGTGAAGAAAAGTTCTGTATTGAATGGAGTCAAGATGGTTAAGAGACAAAAACATGTTGGCTAGATAGTACTGTAGCTGGTATCATAACCAATATGCCCTACTATGAGTATTAAAGAGTCATGAAATCTTAGAGATGCTGAGTCGTTAGGTATAATTTATGCCATCATTTTTACCTCAGTAATTCAAAAGATCAAATGAATTTTACTCTATTTTGAGTCCTTTAGGAAATTTGAACTAGTGAAAAATGCAAAAAAGAAAAACCACCAAATTTCTGGAAACAAGTCTATGTTTTTTAAAAAAAGTTGATTATGAATCCTTTAGATTGAATGAATAACACAGTTACTTTTCAGGAAAAGACTAGTGTTAATTGCTTCTTCTAAAGCTCTGATAATAATTTATTTTATAACCCTTTTAAGTGAGTTGTACCTAAGAAAGGCAAGACCACATAAACTCTGAAATTCCTTAAAACAGGTTCTTGTGAGTTGTGATTACTGATATATTAGAGAGAGGAAGAGGTACTGCCACATTCCATAACCCTTTTCAAAGCTGGGTAACTGGACAGTAGGATATCAGGTAAGATTTAGTAGAATAAGTCTTGAAATAAAAATCAGAAAATGGAGTCCAATGAAAAGATAGAAGGTATTCACAAAAATTAAAATATCCATATTCCATCTAACAAAACGCGATTTTAGTTTAAATAGCATTCTCTTCAGATTGAAGATTTTAAATTTGTCTTGAGTAATATGAATTGTCACTCATTGAATAGGTATAAACTTACAAAATAATTTCACAGCTCACCCTCTAAACTACCATTGGTTGAATTTGTTCCATGTGCAAGGCTCTGTGTTAGGGGCTGAGGTGGCTT